CACATATAAGTCACACTTAGCTTAGGGAAAAAAGGTCCTTTCTCATATGTAAACCGGTAGAGCAGGGGAACTACAGTTAATGTCAACTTGCCTCTGGCCACACACTGTAGGCATCTCTTTGAAAACAGGACTTTCATCAAATTTTCCCTCTTATCTTTTTTGTTTCATGTCGTCTTCAGAAATACCTCCCATTTTTATTGCAATTTTCTTCTTGTTATTACTAGTAGTGTATAAATATAAAAGAATGGGTGCAAAGTATTTAATAACATATGCTGCATTTGCAAAATGTAGATACGTTAAAATGTTATGAAAAGGAGTACAGTAGAGTGCTTCAATATAAAAATTGTTATGTTTACCTGTAACAGGTATTCATGTAATAGAATAGTTACCGTTTGCTATTTTGCCGGAGACTGCATATCTCTAATTATTTTCAAATAGCCACAACTTCTGTGGTTTCTGTGTACCACAATGGCTGAGACAGGAATATTACTGTAATTAATACAAATGTTCTCAAGCTATTGAAAGATCTACAGCAATTTTAGAAACAATAGTAAATATAATTAATCACAGTAAAATTGATGGTGTTTATATATTAAATTCTATCAAAAAAGTTGGTGAGATAAATTATTCCTTATTAAAAATGTTGAAAATGCAGATTTTCATCTATACAAATATATTTAATTATACACTGATGAAACATGGTAAAAATTAAATATCTCCTACTCATTATTTTATATTAATTTTGAGAGTACACTGCCATGTGGCTTTGCATGAACTTTTATTTTGTAGATATTTATTTCACATCCTTAACATTTACTGCATAAAACATTGCACCTTTAAAAGAACACACAATTTTGGGAAAGAAAAATAAGAAAAAATAGCTTTGCTTACAGAATAAAATAAAAATAAATGTATTTAACATTTACTGCATAAAACATTGCACCTTTAAAAGAACACACAATTTTGGGAAAGAAAAAATAAGAAAAAATAGCTTTGCTTACAGAATAAAATAAAAATAAATGTACAGGTTTTGCAAAAGTTTTAAGAGAAGTTATCATATTATATTAGTCCAGACAAAGGCCAAATGGATTAATATTCATAATCACAAAACAAGTAGTCATTGATTTGTGATAAGTTTGTAAAACATTATAGCTAAATAAAACTAATGATCATGTCTGTGCTTAGTCATCATTGACTTTATGTGAAAGAATTCCACGAGTTAGCGAGCTGAATAGGTTTTACATTTTCCATTTCAGGTCCCCTTCAGCTGCCATTCTTTATAGAAGGCCAGTGCTTCAGGAGGCCAAATGATCTTAGCTGAGCTAGTAACTGGCAGTGCCTCCCAATAAAATGCCAAGCAATTGTCCAATGTTTGAATTTGCTGTTGACCTCCCAAGAGCTCAGGCTAAATGTGCTGACAAGCACAGACAGTAACCACTGGCTCATCTGCACAGGACAGAAATCCAGTGGTATTTCCAGAAATATTGATGAATTTGTGTCACCCACTTTATCTTGGGCCCAGGCTGTCTTTATGACCACTGGCATATATTCGAGTTGGTTGACTCAGAATATTATGAGTAGAGAAAACGTGGGCTAAGTCGCCTCGACAAGAATGAGCTCGAACTTTGATGGCATTAGGTCTAACTGGCGATATAATGAAATCCATACTTGTGGCTGTTCTTTTCCTTTCCTTTCTTCCTTTCCCCATTGCTTCCCTGTTTGACTGAGGGCCTCCTGTGTGATGGGAGGAAACACGTGGCTACAAGACTAACTACTCACCAAGTAACACTTCTGGGCTTGAATTGACTGAACAAAGACAGGCTTGGGAAGAACTACTGGGAAGGTTAAAATAATGAAATACACTAATAAGCCATCCACTGTATTTCTAGAATAACAAATGTAGGGCTGGCTAGTTAGATCAACTGGTCAGAGAACAGTCTTATAGCACTAAGGTCATGGGTTTGGATCCCTGCAGCAGCCAGCTGCCAAAAAACCAAAAGCAAAAACAACAACAAAAGTAATGAAATACAGTAATAAGCCACCCACTGTACTTACAGAATAACAGATGTACAGTAGAGTCGCTGTAGGCTACTCATAGGGAGCCTGGCGTTTTGGAATTGGGAGGGGCTTCAGAGATCATCTAGTTCAATTTTCTCAACTTACAAATGAGGAAACTAAGGCCCTGAGAACTTCAGAATCACCAAGTCAGTTAAAATACAAATCTGGGAATTCTGAATCTAAATACAATGTTTTTCCAACCAATGTTGCTTATTAATAACACTCTAGCAACTTTTCTATGATTAATATCGTGTTTTAACTATTCTGTTTACAAATACTGTTTTTAAAATTTAGACTTGAATTTTTGTGAAAAACTCTGACAATTAGAAGTTTTAAGAATGTCTGTTAAATATGACAGTTTGTACCACATGCCTGTTCAGGTCCGAGTTTTACCAGTTTTGTATTTACAGGCATAGTATATTGACTAATTTGCCTTATGGAGAGCATATTCCATATTTCAGAAAAGAGCAAATACAAAAGTGGCACGTGCTGTGAAGACAACCCTTTTAATATTATCTGGTAAATAATCATGTAAATCTGGCATGACTTCTTGATATATAGTCTAAGGTTGTATCAAGGCCATATGTTACTGCAGGCAATCTTTTCAAATGCATAATTTATAACATAACCTCAGTGACTACCTGAGAGACCTGGGCAGAATAATGAATTAATCCAGCACAAATAGACCCTTAGAGGATTAGTTGATATCTAGCTAAGGTCACAAGGGCAACTGGATTAGTAGTTTCAGGCTATTCCTCACAAAAAGCTTGCCAGATGACACAAAACCCAACATATTCCCAGAATTTAAAATAAATCTCTCTGAAATGCTTAGTTTGAATACCCAAGCATGGAAGGGCCTATTGTTGGTTAGGATTTATACTGGGTCATATTTTTTTAAAAAGTAAAAACCACTGGTACCAAAAATAAGATATCATCATAAAAACTGGGGTGGGGAACAGATGAAGATCATCCAGGAAAAAGTTTATGAGAGGTGAAGGATAAGGAAAAGAGGAAGAAAACATGAAGAGAAAGAGAAAGATGGAGGAAAAAAGAGAAATAAACAGGTATGTAGCTAAAGAAGAAAGAGGCACAGAGATGTAGAATGAAAAGGAAGAACAGATGGAGAGAAATCAAATGATGGGTGAAAAAAGGAAAAGGGACAAAGGACAAACGACCAGAGGAGAACGAGAGTGGACACGACGGGCCCAGAGACTAGAGATAGCACAGCCGCGACACAGCAGCGCTTCCTCCGGGGGCTTTGCTGGAGCAAAAGGCGTGAACGGAGGGGGGATGAGCAAGACAAGCAGGACACGGCACAGAGACTAGAGATAGCACAGCCGCGACACAGCAGCGCTTCCTCCGGGGGCTTTGCTGGAGCGAAAGGCGTGAACGGAGGGGGGATGAGCAAGACAAGCAGGACACGGCGTGTGTGCGTGTGCTTGGGTGTTAGCTCAGCCCTGGAATACCGCTGCTACCCAAGGTTTATCTTCGTCCTGGACACACTCTCCCATGACTTTGGGTGACCTCATCCAAAGTGATGGTTTTCTCTCCAGAAATGCCGATGACTTTCAGACGATGGAAATTACTATTTCTAGTACACAACAGCACATCTGGCTGCCCGGTGGACACCTCCACTTAATTTTAAAGGAAAACCAAACTTACAGTGTGCAAAGCTCAACTCTCCATCTTTACTTCCCAGATAAGTTCTTGCTCCTGTATTCTACATGTTGGTGCATGGTAATATCTCCACGAACTTGCCCAAACCATCGAATACGTTCTTTCCATATTGTTCCTTCTCCTTCCAAATGGCTACAGAAACTGTCCTCATACAGGTTTCTAAAGTTGCCCACTCTCTTCACTCAACTGATCTTTCTGACTCTAGCTCCCTTCTCTCCTCACTGTGCTCAAGCCTAACATCAGAGTGATCTAAAATAAACATGAGATCTTATTACTATCTGCTTAGAGGCGTCAGCTGATTTGGGGATCAAGCACAACCTGCTAACATGACAAGACTTTCAAGACCTCACTTTGCCAACCTGCCCACCTTTATCTCCTACCGTCAATGACTGCAGGGCTACCGTCCCAACTCCATGGCTGTAATGGTTTTTAAACTAAAGAGAAAGAATAAGACTCATGTATTCCCAGTGTTTGGAAAAATTTGTCACATCACTTCTTACTATCTATATTTTTATGTTGATAATTTTTATATACATTGAAGATTTTATTATGAAGCAAGTTTTCACTTGTTTCCACAAAATGAGACACTGTGCTTTTCAGTTTGGGATGAGAGGTGGGGATCGCTTATTTATAGCCAGATCTGCTTTCCTTCCCCGCTAGACTCCTCCCAGCTAGGCAGGGCAAACTTACAACATACCACTTGATCTACAACCTTTTCTTATACATGTTGATGCCCTGCATTTTTCTGCTGGGCTGCTCTTGAGATTCTTTTTCTCATGGGGCACGGGCTGATTAACCACCATACCCTGGTGCCTGCACATAACAAAAGGCTCAATAAATTCTGTCATTATCATCTTCTTCATTACAATGAGAAGGAAAAGTCTTCTTTTTCATATCCTTGATAACATCAAATACATTAGTATGTTGATAATAAGTACTAAAAATCTCCTGGTGAAGAAATGGCTTTTAAGATTCTGCAGAGCTTTATGTACCACCCTGCAGGAAGACATGTGATTCTCATGTTATAATGGCATGATATGCTTTGTATATCCATACAAAATCACAGCCATTTACTCTAAGTTTTTGTCCCATAACTGTACGTATTCTGTCCCAATGCTGTATGATGAAAAACGTTAACAATCACAGAGTCACAGATGTGTCCTGGTCATCAAAACCAACACAGTAAATGAATATTTTGATGTACATGAAACAGCTTGGCAAACAATAGGATATAACCGTATATCTGACAGCAGCTAGGAGCTCACCTTTTCTTCATTACCAACACAACTCCAAGAAATATGATAACGAAGAGCAAGATGCCGGCGATGACTCCAGCAATTTTAACTGTGTGGTCTGTTTGTTTCTCAGGTTCTGGGACTGGTTTTGGAGTAGCAGCTCCTGAAGATGAAAGGAAATGAAAAAGGAGAGAGAGTGGGTAAGAGAGAATAAGGATGTTCCACTTTTTAAAAAAACTTTGCTGCTTTTAACAGAGTCATAAGACTTATCAGAGCCAGCAGACAGGCAAGCTTTGATTTTTTTAAACAGCTTTTCATATGCACTGGAAGAAATGTAATTGTTCACGTTGTTCTTCCATATTTTACTAAGCCATAACACAAGCTGAATAGCACACTCACGCCTGACCCTTTATAAGAGACTCTTCTCATACACAGTTTTTTATATTTTTATTATCTCTATGGGCTCCTGCTTTTTCTGCCACTTAAAAACTTGCTAACAACACAATAGCTATCTCTAAGCCTTTATCCAAATTTGATTTGCTGGAACATTTTCCTCAATTATTTTTCATAAATGAAGCTGTAATTCCATAACATATTAGCCCAAACACCTGGAAAAGTGAGATAAGCTCATTTACCATGCATTTTACCAGCAATTGTTTTTTTTTTTTAACACAATGGAGTTTTCCCCTGCCTCTGGAAATCTAAATCTAGGTCACATCTGGTAGGCAAAAGACTCCTTCTAAGCAATTTATTCACAAAGTGGGAAGCGGCTGTGATCACACCACTGGCACCCACGTTTAATATCTGTTTAAATGAGATAACCAGGGTCTCACAGTGGCAGCTACTGTCCTAACTCTCCTGCTTCCCTACATCCAAAACTCTGTTCGTCCTGTTTATCATATGATGTGATGGAATGTCAAATCCACATCAAAGGAAATATCTATTTCTTCTACTAAATGAGTTCAGGATGAAAAATACTAGGAATGTAATGTTCAATGCACTGAACAGAATCCATTGTGTTAAAGGCTTCCGCTTTTTGAGTCAGAATGTGACGGTGCTCAGCATCTGAGCCACCATGCCACCATGACTAGGTAGACAGATCATTCTGAAAGGATGAATTTCATGTCCAGATTTCTCACCTTAGAATTTTCTTTTAGTTTTTGTTGTTAAAAACGTAAATAAAGTTGAGTGTTCGTACCAACTCTTCCTACCCTTTCATCAGGTTTCCACTCATGTGCTGCCTGATTCTTGAAACACTTCACTGTCCTTGTGTCTATGCCCTTGTGCACCGCAGACTGGGCAAATTCTACCAGTCATCACCAAGAAATAGGGAATGTCAATCACTTTACATCTGTTTCTTTTTTTCCTTGGGGAACATACAAATAACGTTTCTTTCCAAAGTTATTCATATTAAGATTTTATGCAACAGATTCTGCATCCTGAACAGAGCTGTGGCCATGAGACTGATCTGGCAAAGCTAGTCAAGATCAGGGGAGAGACATGAGGTGGACGATCCCAGGGCATGTCCATCTGAGTTTCCACCACAAATGCACATTCCCATCAAGGTGGCAGCAACAATGACAGCAGTCGTGATGTAGAAAGCACTCGTCACTAAATAAAATCCCTTCTGGGTAAACCTTCATAGGTCATTTTTATTTCTGACAACATCAAGAGGATGTCCTTTTATGCTGTTTGAATGAATATCCCTCCAACTAGTTGTCCAGTTAAATCCCAAAAATATGAATGTTAATTACTTTTTATGATAATTACATCTTTAATGTACCACTCCAATATATCACTGGAACATACAACCAGGTGGAGAAATTGTTCCATTAAATAAGTTGCGTGGAGAAATTGTTCCATTAAATAAGTTGCTAAGAAAAACCTAAAGATAAAATGTGTATACAACAAAAAGATGAATAAGTAAAAAAAAAAAGAAAAAGCTAAGAAAAACCTAAAGATAAAATGTGTATACAACAAAAAGATGAATAAGTAAAAAAAAAAAAAGAAAAAGAAAAAAAAAGAAAGCAATCCATATATAAAGAGATAACATTTCAAATTCACAAACTGAAAAAAGTCCAATGTTTTTCAATTTTGATTTTATATACAATTTTAAAAACTTAACTTTTTTTTTTTTTTTGGTCTTTTGTCTTTTTCCGTGTCCGGCAACGGATTGCAACCCTCAGTGTTGCCCCCGTACCGGGCCGGGACCGGCAACGGGATCGCAACCCTCGGTGTTGCTCCTGTGCCTCGCTCAGCCAGTGAGCGGGAACTGGTCTGTATGTGGGATCCGAACCCTTGGGCGGGAGCGCCGCCGCACTTCCCAAGCGGCGCACTATCCAGTGCGCCACCGGGCCGGCCCCAAGAACTTAACTTTTTAATACTAAAATCAAATTGGTTTTATTCTTCCAAATGTTGATATACTGAAAGCCATTCCATTGATCTCACGAGTTATATATTGCTAAATAAATGATTTAAGAGTTGTTTTTCTTGGTGTAACTAAATTATGTCAGGAAATGCAACACTTTGGAAAAAATATTTAGGGAAACTTTAAGCTTAAAAATTTTAAATATAAGAAATAACACTGATTCAACCTATATATTGTAAATGCTCAGGAAGAGATGGGTTTGTCACATGTATGCTTCTCTTCACCAAGCAGCTAGTTATTATTACCTCAACATTTTACTCTCTACGTTCTGCACTGGGCCACGAGCAGGTGGTCACCTCACAGCCTTTGGTCCCCTTTAGGGAGCAGGCAAGCACATGGTCATGCAGCTGGCTGAGCTCAGTAGTATCATTCTTTACCACTTATTTTGAACTCATTTCACATTGCAGGTCAAGAAAATGAAACGTTCTATCCTGCGTGACACCATTGCTACGTGATTATGGTAGCAATCATGCGAAATGAGGTGGGACAGCAACTCAGAAAAGGTGGATGGGTGCCACAACTGACCTCCCAGCTCATTTGGGTATTTTGGTTTAGGACCACTCTGAGGAAGCAGCAACATAAATACCAAGTGGGCGTGAGATAGTCACAACCCTCAGCCGATCTAATGGGGGAGGTCACTGATTTTGGGTCCCCTCTCAACACAGGCAGTTCCTGCCTCTCCGTCCCTACCGCGCTTCCTAAAATGGGCATCTTTGGGTCCTCCTTAGACAGGATGCTCGTTTCCACTTTTATTTCTTTGGAAACATGTGGTTGTGGTTATGAGCTGTTAGTCAGCCTTGGACACAGGATAATTTGTGACAGAATTTGGTGGCAAATGATAGTTGTATTTTTTTCCCTCACCCAAATCTATGAATTTAACAGTGCAATTTACAAACTGCTTGGCAAAAGAGTTGTTTTCATAATATTTTCCCCTCTGTCTTGTTATTTTCTTGCCAGGTTTCTAATGATATAACTTTTATTCATTTTGGGAGGGTATAAATACTAATTCTTCAAAGAAAGGCATGTTTATCTCCCCTTGTGTGCATTCTGTTCAGAGTTCTGCACATTTGGGTTTCTAATGATATAACTTTTATTCATTTTGGGAGGGTATAAATACTAATTCTTCAAAGAATGGCATGTTTATCTCCCCTTGTGTGCATTCTGTTCAGAGTTCTGCACATTTGTTCCTTTGGAAGAGAGTAAACTTATATGTGTGTGTGTAACAGCGATTTTTTTAATCTAGTTTTGACCATATTCATTAAAATGATAAATAAGTTAATTACAGAGAGACTGAAGATGAGAGGCTGCAAAACCAGAGAGCATAATCCTCACAGATGGCCACGCTACCGACTCCTAGTGATGGCTCTGGTTATTTTTTTTAATGACCAAGAATATAAAAATATAGTGGTATTTCAGTCAAACTGCATTATTTAAGATTTCAAATACAGCATCTAGTGTAAAAAATCTCAAAAGAAATGGAACAATTATCCAATGCAGTATTTTGTTGGTTTTCAACTTGGCAGAAAACAGTTTTGGCCCAGTGTTCAGTGTTAAATTAAATAACAGCAGCAAGTGAGGCTGAGAACACGATGTATTCAGCCACTGGCTTGAGGTCTGGGCCCCACTTTGACTACTGAACTGGCTGCACAAATTTTCCCAGAAGACCCAAGGACACAAGCCTGGAAGGCCACAAAGGCCATCGCTGGTTCCTGGTGCTACCGATCACACTACCCGCGGCATCAGGACTGATGTCACCTTGAGAGAACAGAAAGCCTTCCTAAAGGGAGGGGACAGGCAAGCTTAGGAAGGGCTGAGGGGTCCGCTTGGCTGTCCAGACCTTTGCCTAGGCTTCCCAAACCTCTGCCTAACGGTGACAGTGATGAGCACTGCTCTGACCTTCAGTATGGAGGAAAAGATCAGCAATATTCTTCATTTATACAAGTGTTTACTGAGCACCTAACCAAGCGCCATGTGCTATTTTAGAAATACATTGTGAACAACTGGATGAAACAAAAACCTCTGTATGGGGACAGACAGACGCTGCAGGCAGTATGATCGTTGGTGCTATGTGCTGGGCTGGATGGGAGTGCTAGGGCAGGCAGGGGACATGATGGGGACTCAGAGGAGGAATTACTGAGAAAACTGTTTGGACAGAGCCTAAAAGAGGAAGGGGAGGAGTGCTAGGGCAGGCAGGGGACATGATGGGGACTCAGAGGAGGAATTACTGAGAAAACTGGACAGAGCCTAAAAGAGGAAGGGGAGTGAGAGAGGCTGACAGCCAGGGAGAAGCATCCTCAGCAGCAGGAAAAATTTGTTAAATGCTGCAAGGTGAGATTCAAGTTCTGAATGATACTGGAGTGGAGTGAGCTGGGGAAAGAGGTGGGATATGTGTGTCAGGGGCTCCTCTGCAGATTGCTGGAAGGATTCTGCTTTTTCTCTGCTTGAGATGGGAGCTCTGACAGGCTTGTGAGCAGAGGAGTGATGTGACCTGGATTATGTTTAACAGGATCATGCTGGCAGCTGTGTTACAGCAGACTGGAGGGAGCCCAGGGATGGACACAGGGATCTCAGTCATGAGGCTACCACCATAATTAAGGCAACAGATGGTGATGGTTTGGAGTGAGGTGGTAGCAGTGGAGGCGAGAAGACGCAGTCAAACCCTAGATTTATTTTGACAGTGGAGCTACAGGCACTTGCAGGTGAACTGGGTGTAGCATGTGTTACCATAACATCCA